GCTGCCATAGAATCATAGAATGGTTTAGGTTGGAAGGGACCTTGAAGATCATCGAGTTCCAACCCCCCTGCCATGGGCAGGGACACCTCCCACTGGACCAGGTTGCTCAAAGCCCCATCCAGCCTGGCCTTGAACACCTCCAGGGATGGGGCCTCAGCAACCTCTCTGGGCAACCTGTTCCAGTGTCCCACCACACACAAAGTGAAAAATTTCTCCCTAATATCTAATCTAAATCTACCTTCTTCCCCCCCTCATTCTATTGCTACATGCCCTTGTAAAAGTCCCTCCCCATCTTTCCTGTAGGCCCCCTTTAGGTACTGGAAGGCCACTATAAGGTCTCCCCACAGCTTTCCCTTCTCCAGGCTGAACAGCCCCAACTCTCTCAGCCTCTCCTCATAGGAGAGGTGCTCCAGCCCTCTGGTCATCTTTGTGGCCCTCCTCTGGACCTGCTCTAACAGGTCCATGTCTTTCCTATGTTGGGGACTCCAGAGGTGGATGCAGTACTCCAGGTGGGGTCTCACGAGAGTGGAGTAGAGGGGCAGAATCACCTCCCTCGACCTGCTGGCCACACTTCTGATGCAGCCTGGGATGCGGTTGGCCTCCTGAGCTGCAGTTGTGCATTGTCGGCTCATGTTGAGCTTCTCATCAATCAGCACACCCAGGTCCTTCTCCTCAGGGCTGCTCTCAGTCTATTCTCTGCAGTGCCAGATTGGTGTCACGCACAGGGTGAGCAGGGTGCCCTGGGCCTGTCGGGTTTCTCTGTCCCTGCAGTGGTCGTGTCCTGAAAGCTGTATTGTTACGGCTGTTTTACTTAAGGTTTTATGTAAAACGGCATTGTCAGTGCTCTTCCAGTTTCAGTTGCTTCCTACCCCCGTAACATCTGAAAATACAAACTATTGCTCATCTAATATGGTGTGTATTCGTGGATATCTAGTAGATGATGAATCTTTAACACTTTTTTTTTTGTTGTTCTTGAATAAAAGCTTTTCAAGGTGGCTATTTTCTGGTTTGGTTTTGCATTTTCTTTACCCAAACCTGTAAGGACTTATGAACAGGAATTGATTGCAAGGCAATGCATTACAAGGAGTTAAGCAACATGCTGCTTGAAATGGTTAGTTTTAACTCTTGCTATGGTATCTTATTTAGGTAGGTACTAAAGTTTTAGAAAATGTATTTTGGAATATGTAACTGGTCATATTGTTATAATTAATAAATCACTTATATGTACTAATTTCACCCTTGAAAGATGAGCTCCCTTTCTAGCTAGGAAGAAAAGCCCAGGAAATTTGGGTGTGAAACAGGTGTGTGATGGAGTAGTGTGTTGCTGCATTCCCCTGGGTATTGCAATATCTGTCTGCCATTTTCTCTAGACAAAATGCGGAATAAGTCAGATCTAGGGTCTGTTCATTCTGAAGGTCTGTGTCTATGTGTGCTAGTTTTTTTGGTTTGGGTCGGTTGTTGAGGGTTTTCTTGTTTTGTTCTTCTCCTGAGTTCAAATATATCAATTACAGATGCACTTCATAAACTTATCTTGTAGGAGCAACTGGTCATGGTGGAACTATCAGGAATTATTGATTCAGACTTCTTAGAAAAATGTGAAAACAAATGCAAGATTTTGGTGAGTGATTACAGCACAATAGGAAAGGGGTAAGTCAGTACACATGTGAACAAGGGACTGAGGCTGTTTCAAAATTCCTTGAAATTGATGATATTTAGATCAAATCTTTGATAGAGAACTAAATGCACTGTCTTGGCTGTATTTGGCTGCAGGTTGTGAGTGCTCTCTGTGTCAGAAATGGCATATGGTCTTTGAATATAGTGTTATGTAAATATAAGGAAGTCTTTTCAGAAGTATTTATAAGCTAGGACCATTAAACCCTCTGATTTTAAACTCAGTTCAGTTTTTTGAAATGGTGTATCTAACACATAAAAAAAAATATTGTTAAGCACATTTCTTCAAATTACTTGAACACAACTGACAGGTAAATCCAAAATCTTTCTGAATTGCACTGTATTTACAGGGTTTGTTTTTTTTCAGATACTACTTGGCAAGTTTGAGTGTTGTAAAGGATAATTGGATCTTAAGTATTTGGTAAACAGTTTATGATGTTTCCTTCACTTAGGTTATTGTAAGAATCTGGTTTACCTGTCCTTTTCCCTTTTTTTTTTTGTTTTTGAGTTGTTTAATCACTTTTTATGGGACAAATTTTATTTACCATTCAAAATCTATTTGGACTATGTGTAGGTAGATAGTACAAATACTGTTGATATGCAAATACTTTGTGAAACTAGACCTTTATTAAAGACTGCAAAGATGGAAGAGAACATCTGAGAGTATGCAGCTGATCAGAATATATGTGAGGTGGTAAAGTCAATTCTGAAAATCTCAAATGTAGGAATACAATCAAAAGTATTAACTTATTCACCACTGGTTGGATATGCTTTTGTAAGCAGATTTGCTTCCTGGATCTGACCTAAGTTGCTTTAAATGTATTACTTAGATGGTTCATTACTGGTGGCTGAGTGGCTACATATTCTTCAGCAGTGTTAATGTGGTTCTTTTATATTTTGTGCTTTGAGATTCTCTTGTAATGTTGCTAGAAAAATTTAAGGATTTACACTGTAGCCTACTTGTATCCAAATCTACCTGTGCTCACTCAAGAGTAAGCATTCCTTGACAGTTTTCATAATGGACAACTGTTGTTAAAACTCCAATAAAAGATTCTGCTTTGTATTATGCTGTTTAGCAAGTTTTCTGTGATGCTGGTCACATAAGGGTAAGACAGTCTCCGTTTTTGCATAGTCCAAAAATGAATGTAATCAGTCAAAGAAATAAAGTTTTGAATATTAAAAACCTTAATGCTGCTGCCTAGTACTGTTTATTAATTTTCTGTAGTAAAAAAAAAAATTAAAAATATGTTCTACATGTTATCTTAACGTTATTGATGTTCTCAATTTATGCAGCAGAAAGAGAATCCCAGAGGTTAAATCTTGCTGATCTTAGATACTTCTGTTTGTTAAAAGTACGAGAGGAAAATTGCACAAATTCCTATTAACCTGTGTGATATTCTGTATTTTACACAATTTACCACATAATGCCTTATCTTCAAAACTTAGCATGTGCTTATCTTCATGTCCTGAATAATGTTGATGTTCACAATGTACTATTAAAAGACATTTTGCCTTTATTAGTGTATTCTGTTCAGGTATTGATTTTTATCAAAATATTGTTTCTAGGTATATCTTATGTTAAAACTAATGGGATCCTGGCCTGTGTATTTGGAAAAGCTCTGTTGCAGAGAAAGGGAATGAGCTGATGAAACTGCTGCCTTACTCTTCCATTCCTTGTTTAAAAAAATAAAATTAAATAACAGCAATTTCCAACTCCTTCACAGTGTAGATGCGCAGTAATCATAGCAGCTTCTGTGGCCCTGCAATTGCACTTTGTTGTTGGTGTAATGCTTTATTCCAGACTTCTTCACCTTGTGTCTTTTCCAAAGAATTTTGAAGATTCTCCCACTTTACGAAGCTGGTATTAATTGGAGCTTACAAAACAACATCATTTTTTCAAGCAAATATGTATATTTTTATTTGCTAATTTAAAACTGAGGTTAAATTAATTTCCTAGAGGAAATAAGTGTTTTAAAGTTATTTCATGTAACCTAAATAGACAGCTGGCTGCAGTTTAATCTAAATTTCTTTGGTCCTTTTTCACACACTAGAGCCCTTTCTATACCAGTTCAGCATTGTTGGTTTTGCTGTGATTACTAGAACAGTATTATCTGGTGTATCCTTTGTATTTAATGTACTTAAAGTAACGTATATGATAATAGACTGAAAAATTGTCGTTACCTTTTTCTTTTTTTTTTTTTTTTACAGTACACTGATTCTACACTAAGATTGGCTAAACCCTTTGTAATAGTTCTTTCCTCTGCTTAACTAAGCTTCCTACAAAAATGGAAAGAAAACTCCTTCTCCCCCTACCCCAAACGTTTAACACTGTAGAATACCTCGGGGTCACTTGCAATGACTACTTTAATATGTTGTTTTTTTAAATTAATAAAGACTGATTTAATTGTATGTTTTGCCATTCTTTCAGGATTCTGCTATTTTCTGTAAAATAATAGCCTCTACTATGCTTTTTTACCCGCTTCCATAAATCCTGTTTCAAAGATGTGCTTTTCTTCATATGAAGTTGATAGCTTGAGAAAGGTTTACAATGTGGAATGCACTCCTTTAATACCAAAAGAAACTTTTTATTTAACATTTACAGTGTTATGGAATACTTATTTTACTGTTACTACCTCACATTGATTTTTTTACACTATTTATCTTTTCAAGGAATTGCTGTAATCTGGATTCTGTTGTGTATATCTTCTGTGGTCTCAGCAAGAAATTTGCCTGGACTAATGGAGACCTGACATCTGTGCAATTTTGTCCCTCTTTTTGTAGGGAATAGAGACAGAGAGGCCCATTTTACAAGTGGACAGATACGTATTTGCAGGAGAATATGAAGGTAGGAAAAACGATGTGGATACAATCTCTCCTTTTTCATGTGACCCAAAGAACTTTCTTGATGTCAATTAATTGCACTGTGAATGGAGAACACGGGCTTGTGAGGTGCTGAAGTTCTGGGTGGTGTTTGTGTAACACCACATAGAGCAGCACCAGTCTGAGTTCACTGCTAAATTAGCCATGCGTCCATGTTACTTCCTGGAAAGTATGCCTGGAAGCTGACTGCAGGGTGCAACAGCTGGTACTTCTGCAGGGAAAAATATGGGACATAAAATGCTTTAAAGTGCGTGTTGTCTCCTGAGTAAGCAGGACTGATATGTTGTGCAGTCTGTATTTCTCCCATTTGCCTTATGGTGGGTGACAACACTGGTCTGCGAGAAAATGATCTGAAGTCCTCCCTTGTAGTGACTTTCAATGACCACGATACTGCTGTCTGTTTCTGAGTTGGCAGTGTGATTGCCAGCTCTGGGCTTTTGCGAGGGCTTGGAAGTCAGAACGTTCACAGAGCTGTGCCAGTGGATGCAGTATCTACAGCTGATATAAATTAGGCTCTAAGACCTTCTCACTTTGTTTTCCATAGATACCTTGGGAACCTGTGTGGTTTTTGAAGAAAACACAGAGCATGGTAATCGTTGTGATTTGATGTCCTGTTCATTGTGGTAGCCTGGGAAGTTAATAATAATACTTACCTTGTTTCAGTTGATAGTGGAATTCACTGTAATGGTTGGGTATTGTGTTTTCTCCTCTCTTCATAGTAGATGCAGAAGGCAACCAAAAAGTACAGCTGAAATACAAATGCCATACAATGAAGAAGTTGAACATGACACGGACACTTTTGACAGAGAAGAAGGAAGGAGAAGAGAATGTTGGTTAGTTCCTCCCCTCTTATTCATAGGGACATGGATGGATTGTGCTTAGGAGCGTCAGCCTTGATTAACTGTTTGATTCAAGAGCATGCAAGAAGTTAGAGGAACTTTCTTTACTTAGTTCTTTACTATGCTTTTAGTCCATAAAGGCTCTTGTTATCTTCACTTGATTTTTGAACCTGTACGTACTTTTGACTCTTCTCTTCCAAGTAGAATTCTAGTCTCTGTTGTTCTTTGTTGCTTTTTTTTGTACTTTTTGTTGTTTGGGGTGTTCTGTTCTTTTTTTTTAAGACTCTTCCCACGTAGAGCTAACTTTACTCTTACCGATTCTTGTTTCTCTTTTCTAGTTTTACAGTATGGGTTGAGCAGGACACAGAATGCGTGACATGGACATAGCATAGTTTTGTATCTTGATATTCCTGCTTTTTATTGGTTTCCTAATAATTTTATCTCCGTTGTGGCTGCTCTTTAGAGACCGAGGTGGTGACATCACTTAACCATATGCAATGTCTCCAGTATCTGGATAAAAACCTGTAGTTGTCTGTCTTGGTTAAGTTGGTTTAGCCTATGCATGCTGTTGTTAATTTACCAATGTTTAAGTTTCTCTTCATTTTAAGCTGGTCTTTCTTTATCAAATGCCTTTCTGTTATTCATAGCTTTATTTTTCAAGGAAAATGAATGGTTTAGGTCCAACGGTGAGACTCACCACAAAGATTAGTGTTGGTCTGAGTTCTTGAAAGACGTCTTGCTATCCTAAGTGATTCTTTTACTTAAATGTTGGTCAGGCTCAGCCTTAATAACAATGAACTTAAACTAAGAAAAAACTACTGTTGACTCTTATCTCCTTTTGTCACTAATATTGATTTTCCTTCTTTGCATCAGGAGGAGTGGAGTGGTTACAGATCAAGGACAGAGATTTCTCCTACAGCAGGCCTAATATGATTTGCAGCTTTCTGCGTGAAAAAGAAGATTCTGAGGAGTCAGCTCAGGCCCAAGACAAATTGACTGAAGAGTCAGAGGGAGAGGTGAGTGGCGGAGGAAATTCTGACATGAATTGTGATCTGGAGCAGCAGCATAGCTTGGAAATAGATGCTGCTATTCCTCTGCCTGACAGCCCTCCTTCTGGTGCAGAGGATTCTCCTTCTGGAAGTGTTGCCTTAGACGATGCCCCTCCATGATATCAGCTCTGATCTTTTCAGGATTTCTTCATGGTGTTAATGGGCCAACTTTTAAATGCCAACTTTTATATAGGCCCTGACATGTTTTCCAATTTATCTGAGCAATTAATAGTGGAAAAATGGGCATTGTGTTCTCGTGCATTGCTTTTATGTTTGGATTATTGTGGGGAGGGCTTAAGTGTTTTTTAAAAATGCTGATTGGAAATGTGTGTATATCTACCTCAAAATTGAAGAAGAGGAAATGGGTACATAATTAAAAGAACTCCTAACTTAGAAAAATGTTGATGTGTTGTACAGTCTGGGATATTTCGTAAAAAGGGAAAAAAATATCATTGTTTAAAATAAAGTCCTGAATTTTTCAAGTATAGCTTCACCTTGTGTGTCATATTCAGCTGCATACTGTGTCTGTTCTTGTACTGCAGATATTGAAAGAAAAAATCAAGTAAGTATGGCTTTTATTACTTGTTTGATTCCTTATCAAATTGCTTAGTTTGGATTTTCTCTAGTGTCCTTTGTCCCCTTAATGGATCTTGGAAATGCTTCATGTGGGAAGGGACTTCGGGATGTCTCTGGCCCAGCTTCCTGCTTAAAATAGGGTCAACACTGAATGAATTTGGGCCAAGTTTCTCAGGGCTTTGTCCAGTCAAGTCTTGAAAACCCCTGTCAGCAACTAAAATCTAGGTCTTAATGAGGCATCTGTCACTCTTCCTTCACCCTTTTTGTATATAATGTATGTTATACAAAAGGAGGTCTCCTCCCCCTTCCCCCTCCAGTAACAGAAAACTGGCATTTTTCTGAAAGTTTTTACATCGAAGATCCTGTAACCATGCCTCAGTGGTTCCCAAAGTGATCCATGTGACTGTGGTGTAGCCCCTAGCTAGTCTGTGGGTTGACATGACATACTGCTACATCATTTATATTGTCACACAGTATTTCATATAAAAGTTGATTATGTGGTGCATTCGTGATAATGTTTTTAAAAGCACAGCATTTTTTTAAACATAAAAAATTTCTTCCTGACCTACCTTCCTTCCTACCTTTTCTCTGCCTCCCTCAAAATAGTTTAACTGCAACAATGCTATGAGGATGGGAATGCCTAATTAATTCCAGCATAATTACATAATACTTTAATTAGTAATGATCAGAGAAGTTCAACCCCAGCATTGTTCACAGCACAGGATCGGTAAAGATAAGTCATCAAAGCAGTGCAAGAGTTCAAACCATCAATCCCACTGCTCTGTTTTTCCATGTAGAAGCAACTGGAATTGTGGGGGAGGGGGACGAAGGGGAGGAAGAAGAGGGAACACGTTCTGCATGCCTCCAGCCTGGGTACGGGTTTTTCACGTGGTAGTGTCTGCGCTTCATGTTTCAGGGAGACTACTCAGCCTTCCCTCTAGATTTAACGGCAGTCGTGGAAGCTTGAAAGCATTGTTCAAACTTTACTTGTGTGCTGCTGGTAGACAGAAGGTAATTAGAACTGGAATAACAATCTTGGGACTATTATGAACTGGTATAATGGACTTGCTTGTCTGCAGCGCGGAGCGTTTGTGGTGCTGGGCTGTGCTTGCTGACGGCTGAACCTCCTGCCAGAGAGGCTGGGCAGGCTGTGGGCAGCGAGCGCTTGCTCTCCTGTCTGCTGCTGCTGAGAGCAGCACGGCGCTTCCCTGAGGTTTTTCTCCATCAGCGTGCGAACATAGCAACTCTCTTCTGTTTTGTCCACCAATTGCTAAATCCATTGCTATGCGTAAATTTTTTTAATCACGTGCAAGGAGTATTCTAGCACAACTGCCTTTTTCAGCCTTTTCTCTCAATAGTATACTGAAGCTGTTTCTTTGTTCTAGTTTATCTGGGAATGAGGATTATTATTTTTTTTAAAGCATTTTAAGTATATCATAAACTATAAGCATCTTCATAATAATGTGGTTTAGATTTTAAATGTTATTTATAATGCTCAAGCGTTTGTTTCTATTATTATTAGCCCTAACTTTTGCAACCATGCTCACTCCTTACCCATCGCTTCCCCCATTGTCCCAGAAAGCAGGTGCTGTGAGTCTGCTGCCACTGATAGCAAATTCTGCATCTTTACTCATTTCACCCCAAAAAAACCCAACAAGTTGGTTATTTCAAGTACAGTTCAAAACTGGTTGGTTGTCAGGGTGTGGAGTTAAAAAGTGTACTGGGTAAGTATGATAGTCGGATGTAGGATTACTGCCGTAACCATCCTTGCCTGGTCGCTATACGTTGTTCACATCCCCATGCTGGGGCACCAGCCCATCCTTGCAGCTCCTTGCCACGGCTGGTATTAAGCATGTTTTCTGTATGTGTTGTGACAGTTACCAGTATACATGATGTTCAGACTACTGATAAAACCAGCATTCATTTTCAGTGTTAGCACTTCAAAAGAAAAATTTAAAAAACCCTGTGACTTTGGAAAACACTCAGTGACAAGGGGGCTTCCACCAGCAGCTTGGCTGACAGGACAGCAGGGAGATGGTTTTGCTGGGTTCTTTGGCTTTCTTGTACCTTTGGTTTATCAAGTTGCCATCAAACTAAGAGGGATATGGACCTGTTGGAGCAGGTCCAGAGGAGGGCCACAAAGATGATCAGAGGGCTGGAGCACCTCTCCTATGAGAACAGCCTGAGAGAGCTGGGGTTGTTCAGCCTGGAGAAGAGAAGGCTCTGAGGGGACCTTATGTCAGCTTTCCAGTACCTAAAGGGGGCCTACAAGAAAGCTGGAGAGGGGCTTTTTGCAAGGGCATTTAGTGATAGGACGAGGGGGAATGGCCTCAAACTGGAAGAGGGGAGTTTTAGATTGGATATTAGGAAGAAGTTTTTCACTTTGCGCGTGGTGGGACACTGGAACTGGTTGCCCAGAGAAGTTGTGGATGCCCCATCCCTGGAGGTGTTCAAGGCCAGGCTGGATGGGGCTTTGAGCAACCTGGTCCAGTGGGAGGTGTCCCTGCCCATGGCAGGGGGGGTTGGAACTTGATGATCTTCAAGGTCCTTTCCCACCTAAACCATTCTATAATTCTATGATAACTATGTCAGTTTATGCCTATAATCTTTCATGAAGCTTGTATAACATTCTTTGGTTTTGGGGCATAAAAGACCATTTGGACTATTCCCTTCCAACCCAAACCATTCTGTGATTCTATGAAACACGAACTTGAGGATTAAATGCAACACCTTGAGCAAATTTGGACAACTCTGACCAACAGACTGATAGCCTGTGGGCTCTGAAATGACCTGAAGGTTTTTAGCTGAGGAGTAGATACTGCTTTAGAAGAGATGTTCCCACATTAGGGATTTGGGGCAGAAATCAATCTTTGGCGTTTGGTTTTTGTTGCGTGTGAGGTCATGTCCTCCAGTCATTATAGCTGCATCCGTCTTCTCGAATAAGTAAATTTTGGGGGAAATTAGGCTTAAAGTGTTACGCTTCAGCTGTACAACTTCAACGTGGTCCCGCGTAAGCAGAAAGCTCAGAAACAGGTTGCTCAGCCGCTGCTGCAGTTACGCACAGTGACGTAAATGCGTCGGTATTTGCGCGTTAATTAATTTGCACCCACTACGTAGCGAGGACTCGTCGCCGGGGTACGGGAAGGCAGTACGCCCCTCACGCGCCAACGGTGCGGGCCCGCCCCCGCCCC